CCGTTTTGGGCCCTATCCCCCCCCCTTCTTACAAACCCAGGGGTTTTGGTTTCAAAACAGGGAGTAGACGCCTGCTGTATCGCCCTACCGCTTTTCTGCCTGGTAGCTGATCACCCCCTAAACTGCTCCCCTGCCAGCCCGATTGCCCCCAACTGCCCTCCCCTGCCAGCCCGGTCACCCCCAAAATGCCCTCTTTTTTGGCCCGGTCGCCCCTAACTGCCCTCCCCTGAAGGCCTGGTTGCTCCCAACTGCTCTCCCCTGCCGGCCTGGTCCCCCCCTAACTGCCCCTCCCCCGCTCCAGCCTGATCACCCCCAGCCGCCCTCCCCTCCTGGCATCGCCCCTAACCGCCTCTGCCTCGGCCCCGCCACCATGGCTTTGTCTGGAAGGACGTCCAGAAGGTCTCCCAGAAGGTCTTCTGGTCTAATTAGCATATTACCCTTTTATTAGTATAGATTTCTTAGAATGGGACCTGAAGCTCAGGATAAGACTTTTCAGCTGACCAGGGTCCTGCCTAGGACTGCTCATTTATATTTACCATGACAAGGATTTTCACAGACATATTTCCTGACAAACCAGAAAGGCAATGTGTCCAAGGATAGGGAAAACATTAGGAAGTGAGGAGCACAGGCCAGGGAAATGCACATTCAGACCTGCCTGTTCTGTGCTGTCCCCCCAGGCAGGGTGGGGATTGAGGGGTGTTCTCTACAGGTGCTGATCCACAAAGGGTTAATGTCTGCTTGGGGGGTGGGCTGGGAGACTGAGGGAAGAGCCTTGCACCTCCTGGGTTATTTCTGACCATTGATCCAGGATGGACGAAAAGACAGTGGGCCAGAGATCGATGTACTAGAGCAGATATAACTGCTGAGATGGATAGCTAGGGCCAGGACTGGGGGAGGGGGGACTCAGATACAGAAAAGGGGTAAGGGGATGTAGAAAGGGGGGGGTCTTTTGGGTCCCCAACAGAGAGGGATGAGCACAGGAAAGTCCACCCTGAGACAACGGGTTCTGTGTAACAATATTTTTTGAGGTGTGCTAACTGGCTGACCTGGATTACATTGCTGAGAGAGTGGTATTGGGTGGGGCTTTGATGCCTCCACATGTACTTGACCTCTTCCTTCAGATTCGGAGGCGTCGGCCCACCCCTGCTACGCTCGTGCTGACCAGTGACCAGTCATCCCCAGGTAACCCCAGGAATGGGTCGCTGAAGGGAGTGGGGGCTGCTGAAGACAGCTGGGTCCAGTGAGGGAAGATTGAGTGCTAGATAGAAGGGCAGGTCTGAGAAGTCAGAGATCTCCTCAATCCTGGAGGCAGAAAAGTGATGGCTGGATTAGCAGGAGGATTTCTTTTGCTCTGGGAAGATGGAGCAATGCTAGGAAGGGGAGAGAGACCACCTGGTTCCTAAGCCCTCGGGAATTGGGTGGTCAACGGAGTGCTGGTTGCTTCGCAACAGCCTTCCAGGTTTCTCCAGCAACTGAGATGCTGCTGCCCCCACCCCCAGAGGCTATGACAGCTGTGCGGGGGAGGGACCGCCTCCATCAGCTATCTTCACAGCCCCCAGAGGGGAAAGGGAAAGTTAGAAAAAGCTCAGGGAGCAGCTGGCATTCTGGTCACCAGTGTCCCCATCAAGGTCTGGAGAGAGAGCAAGGTCTCAGGGAATGTCATGGGGAGCTTGACAGGAGAGTGGAAGAGAGGTGGTCATGCTTATAAGCTAGCCAGGAATTCAGGATGCCTGAGTCTCCCCTTGCCTCCAACTAGTGAGAATGATTGCACCTTCCTGGCCCCTGCACAGGATCAATTTGCTATTCTTTTTCCAATGTTCCCTCGTATGCAGCAAAGGGACCACAAATCCTGGAACCTCCAGGTCTGATGCAAGGATGTAGACACAGATAAACCCATAGGGTCAAGGACAGGATTCGATGCAGGGGTAAAGCCAGCCAGCAGAGCAGGAGGAAGTTGGAAGGAGAAGGCCAGGGGCAGCCTCCAGGGCTAACTGCCTAGGGGCAGATGTGAGGGACACATCAGGAAGGAGGTGACTGCAGAGGCTCTTACCCTTGGAAGTCAGCTCCATGGGGACCCTCTGATCTCCCAAACTCATCACTTTCTCCTTTCCCTGTTCCCCTCAGAGATAGATGAAGACCGGATCCCCAACCCCCTTCTCAAGGTGAGCTGGCCCCTCCCACTCAGCCCAGCCCAGGGAACCCACAGACTCAATAAGGGATTATTCCTCAGAACACTCCATCTGCAGAAACGTTGAGTTCCTCGTCCCTGTACCCCCCAAATGTGCATG